GGCGTGCGCGAGATTTGGGGGGGGGGGGGAACGTGCAGATCTGCCCTCACAGAGGAGGGAGAGCTTTTACCTGAACAAAATTTGGTCTTAAAGGTGCCACTGGACTGTTTTGGATGGGGGGGGCCTCTGCAACTTACCTGGCTGCTTCTTGCTCTGACTGAGGGCTGCTGGGAGCAGGGGGTGGGGCTTGTTGCATGTGCCCGCCCCCCGGGCTCTTTCCTGCCGGAGCTCCGCTCCTGTGCGCTCCTGCAGGAAATGACCCCTGCCGACGAGTAACAAACCAAACGTTTTTTCTCATTTCTAGACGTGCTTGAAGCGAATCCGACTTGACCTACCCATTCTGCACGAAGACTTCCCAGGCAACGAAGGCATGTGTCCGCTGTTTTTTCTGAGAATTGGCCTGTCGCTCGTGTCAGCACTAGATCCTTTCCTCTTGTTAATATTCGATCATTTATGAGCTCTTGTGAAAGAATGGCTGCATTTGTGCTGCAGTCTTGCTTAGTCCCCATTTCCCCCCTTGCTAGAATCCCTGTGGGGTGTGCAAGGCCAGATTTTTTTAAACATCAGCCTGAATAGCCTGGACTAGCCCATGCTTCTCAGTTCTCAGAAGCTAAGCAGGGTCGGCCTCGGTTAGTATTTGGATGGGAGACCGCCGAGGAGGCCCAGGGTCGCTATACAGAGGCAGGCGAAGGCAAAACCACCTCTGATCGTCTCTTGCTTTGAAAGCCCCCAGGGCTCGCCGTAAGTCGACTGTGACTTGATGGCCCTTAATCTGAAGGGACAACCGGGGGTGGTTTCGTAGAAAAAGAGGTGCAGGAGCTCATTTGCATAGCCTATTTGCATATGCCACACCCCCTGACAAAGGGCAGGCAACCCACTTCCCCAAGTTTCTCCGCAAAAGCGGAGAGGCTCAGGCGGAAAGGGGGGGAGGCATGTCTGCCCACCTTCCCTTCCCCTCCCCAGCCCCCTGAATAAAAACCCTTAGCCATCAAACAGACTCCCTTGTTGACTCCCACAGAGTTTGCAATTAGATGTGGTTAGACTGTGGAATGCAGAGGTAATTCAGTTTGCCTGCTCCTCACCATGGGAGAAATGTTTCAGAGTTTTAAAGCTTTTATTGACAGGGAAGAGATTATTTTTCCTTCCTTTCTGCCGAACCTACACGTTAGAACTAGATAAATGTGGCTGCAATGAATATAGGGTGCATTGTTTAGCAGTACAGTGCATCCCCCTGCAGTTACATACATTAAAGAAATGGTTCCTGCCGACAGCATCTGTCTAGTTATCAGATTTTCTGTGCGATGGTTCCATACATTAGTCGTGAATAACTCAACCATTCGCGTTTAGGAAAAGATTGATTAAGTGTTTTTACTGGGAGCCGTATACTCTTCCTGATTTTGCTTCACATTGCTTCCTAATTTGTGAGTCTAGTAGCTATATGTACACTTCTACCTTTATATGAAGCTAGATTTCCAGAAAATTTTTACTATCATGCGAAATGACTGGATATTGACCGCTAGCTCTAAGCAAGGAAGTGAGCAGTGTTACCTCTAAGTTGCGCTAGGGGGAGCTGGCGCACAACATTTTAGCTAGCTGCTCAGGGATTTCAGCTTCCAGCTCACAGTGAAGGGTGGGGGCCAGTGTTCCCTCTAAGCTGTGGAGTTTTGTGAGTAAAAATTCTACTTTGTGAGCTACCGGCATTAAAGTTGAGAGCGAGCGATTTGGCTACTGCATCAATTAGTTTGTTCTGGAGCCCTCCTTCCTGAATGAAGACAAAAATGTGTGAGCCGGAGGCTAAAAAACTGTGAGCTAGCTCACACTAACTCAGCTTAGAGGGAACGCTGGTGGGGGCCCCTTCTTCTGGGACCCATAAAATTGGACCCCCTGGTCCGATCTTTCTGAAATGGGGGGGGGGGGTTTGAGGAGAGACACCAGCAGCTATGCTGCAAATTTGGTGCCCCTGTCTCAAAAAACGGCCCCCGCCCGAGCTCCAGATTGATTCTCCATTATAGCCTAAAGGGCCCATTGATTATAATGACCCCCATTGGCTATAATAGAGCGCTGGAAAAATAGGTCAATTTTTTTTTGCACACCCCCTATTATGCTTTTCAGGATGATTTGTAAACTGCCTTGAGTCATAGGGAAAAGTGGGATATAAATATTTGAATAAATAAGTAGTTTGGGCAGGTTGATAACATTTAAGCAATTTCCTGTTAGGTTAGGCAGGGTTCTGACAGTGATTGTTCCTCCTCTGTTATACTTGACCTGTAAATTTGTCATATTTCATTAAAAAAAACCCAAAGTAGACTGCAAAGAGGTCCCCCCCCCCAAAAAAAAAAGTGCTGGTATGTTTTCTAATGCTCAGCGCAGGGCGACAGTCCAAGGCCAGGTCTACCAATATAATGGACTGGGACGGGTAGACATGTTCTCCAGAGGCCAGGTCTACCCCCATAGAGGACATCATCTTCTGTAGTGAAATTTGACTTGATTCAGTTTTCTCCTATAATCTTTAAATTATTCTGAAAATATCGTTTAAATATAGTTTTAAAAGAAATCATTCTGAGATTCTTACAAGGTTATGGAAATATTCTAAAAAAACTAATTTACGTGATAGTCCAACGTAGACTCGCTCACAACATTAATGCTGCTAACATTCTTTCGCTCACAAGGCAGAATTTTTGCTCACAACTCTGTGAAGCTTAGAGGTCCCGAGCAGCGCTCCCTCTAAGCTGTGGAGTCTTGTGAGCAAAAATTCTACTTTGTGAGCGACTGGCATGAAAGTTGTGAGCGAGCCATTCCGCTTCTACATAAATCAGCTTGCTCTGGAGCCATCCCTTGCTGAGCGGAGACAAAAAATGTGTGAGCCGGAGGCTAAAAAACTGTGAGTTAGCTCACACTAACCCAGCTTAGAGGGAACACTGGTCTTGAGGTATGGCTGTTTTTTAAGCAGGTTCTCACTGTAGCCCACCTGAGGTGCACATTTTGGCTGGACAGTACCAGTAAAGAGTTTGTGCATCCCATGCAGGTGATGATGGTGGAAGCAACGGACTCAATACAGCTACCGAAGAAGTGGATATTTTTTCGGAGCACCAGAATGCGAGAGAAGAAGTGGTTTCATCCCCGACTGCCACTCTGACCGAGGAGCAACAGCAGAGAATTGAAAGGAACAAACGGATGGCACTCGAAAGAAGGCAAGCAAAACTGCAGCTTAACAGCCAGTCGCCCAAAGAAAATGGTAAGTTCCAGAGGATGAATGGGGGAGACTGTCTGTGGTAGCATTCCGGTATACTTCAGTTCTGAAATAATCCTGGCACTTCTGTCATCCTGCTGTTTTGGTAGCTTGGGGCGAAACTCTTGCTGTGGTTAGACTGCAGATATTTGCACTGCAATAAAAGGGTACATTTGTACTAGAGTAAAAGGCCTACTACTACTAGAGTAAAAGGAGCTGCGGTGGCTCAAGTGGTTAAGACGCTGAACTGCAGGCTGTGGAAGGTCGGTAGTTCAGCAGTTCGAGACCCAGGGGTGCCGCATGACGGAGTGAGCTCCTGTCTCTAGTTCCAGCTCCTGCCAACCTAGCATTTCGAGAACAAGACATTGCAAGTAGATAAATAGGTACCACTTCGGTGGGAAGGGAACAGCGTTCCAGGTGTTTAGTCATGCCGGCCACGTGACCATGGAAACGTCTTCGGACAGCACTGGCTCTTCGGCTTTGAAACGGAGATGAGCACCGCAACCCTAGAGTCGGATTCGACTGGCTTTCGAGCAAGGGACACCTTTACCTTTAAAAGGCCTACAACTCAGCCATTCATACTTCCGTGGGTGGAGAAAACCAGGGCTCAGTAAGACCACTGGCTCAGCCCCACCCTCCTGAGTCAACATACAAATTTCTTCATTGGGAGAAGACTGTGACATCTTTATGATTTGTTTCTTGTCATGTCTGCTGGTTGTGAGTTATCATGAGCTATCTTCAGTCCTAATAGATGGGATAGGTAAAGGTTTCCCTTGCTCAAAAGCCAGCCGAATCTGACTCTAGGGGTGCAGTGCTCGTTTCTGTTTTTAAGCCGAAGAGCCAGCACTGTCCGAAGACGTTTCTGTGGTCATGTGGCCGGCATGGGTAGATGCCAAGGCACACAGAACGCTGTTACCTTCCCCGCCGAAGCGGTACCTGGTTCTCTAGTTGCAGTTTTTTGCTTTCGAACTGCTCGGTTGGCAGGAGCTGGGACCAGAGACGGGAGCTCACTCTGTCATGTGGCACTCGGGACTCGAACTGCCGAACTATTGACCTTCATGTCTGCAGTTCAGTGTCTTGACTACTGAGCCATCGAGGCCCCCATACAATACATGGGATAAGTGCATTTTAAAAGTTTTAAACGGTCAGGCCGCATGCTTAATCTTTAGTTCTGGTGCTGTTAATTCTGCTCCTGTATTACTCCTTGCTATTGGTGTCTCTGCTTGAGGGTGAGATCGGCAAGGATGTTCAAAAAGTGGGACTGTCGAAGCCCTAATCCAGTGATGGCGAACCTTTTAGAGACCGAGTGCCCAAACTGCGACCCAAAACCCACTTATTGATCGCAAAGTGCCAACACGGCAGTTTAACCTGAATCCTGAGGTTGTACTTTAGAAAAAACAACTCATACATTAGTTTAAGATGATCCAAACAAAGTAAGGAAAGCAATCCCAAATGCTTTCATTTACTTAAAATTATTTGGCAGAGAATTCGACACTTTAATGATGGTCTGGGCCTGGCTGGGGCAATGGCACGCGTGCCCACAGAGAGGGCTCTGCCTGCCACCTCTGGCACCCGTGCCATAGGTTCGCCACCACTGCCCTAATCTGTACTCCCGAAAATGACCTGGAGTTAAGCTGGATGTGACGGCATCGGTTCCACATGTCTCAGTGTGGAAGTGGTCCCGTTCCAGTCCTGTATAAAAGGTTTGATTTAAAACAGCAAAAAGCGCGTGTGGATGAAGAACTTAACACTCTTTACACTCCTTTCCCAGAAGTGTTTTGTCCAGCTGAGGTAACTGGGTATCGCAGCTTTTCTGAGGGGGGGAAATGTGTACGGGGAGAAAAGCTGCAAGATAGTACAGAAAAATGGGTTGCTGGCCTGTCACGAGGAGTGTTCCCTGTAAGCTGAGTTCGCGTGAGCTAGCTCACAGTTTTTTAGCCTCTGGCTCACACATTTTTGTGCTAACAAAAAGGAGGGGAAGGGGGAAAAGGTGGTTAAGCTGACTCAAAATATTATAAAAATGCAAAATTTATTCAGGTGTACACATTTTAAAACTTAGACTCATTAAAAATATACCATTCAGACATAAAAAAACTTCTCAACATTCATACATAGATGGGTTAGTGCTGTGCAACTGAACCAAACGCGTTTCGGCCCCTCAAAGGGCCTTCCTCAGTGGTCACAATTCCAATTACAAATTTGACATACATTCAAAATTTTTTTTACATAAGATGTACATATACAGGAGAAGGCCAGATGTTGTTTCCTTCTGTATTGTATGTTATTATTCTATAAGATGGGCCTCCAGTTTAGCCAAATAAAGTCCACCAATAATTCTTGTATCACAAACTTGTGTGAGTTGAATGTATGTCACTCCATCCTGTACACATTTTTGTCTCAGCTCAGGAAGGAGGGCTCCAGCGCAAACCAATTTATGCAGCAGCCAAATCGCTCGCTCACCACTTTAATGCCAGGAGCTCACAAAGTAGAATCTTTGCTCACAAGACTCCACAGCTTAGAGGGAGCATTGGTCACGAGTGGTCTTCAAATGGCCTCCCGCTCTTCTAAGTAGGGTTGCCAGGTCTGGGTTGGAAAACACCTGGAGACTTTGGGGGTGTGGAGCCGGGAGAGGGCGGCGTTTGGGGAGGGGAGGGGCCTCAGCATGGTACCGTGCCACAGAGTTTCCCCTTCAAAGCAGCCGTTTCCTCCAGGGGAACTGGGGATCAGTCGTAAAAGTAGGGGATCTCCAGGCCTGACCTGGAGGCTGGCAACCCTACTTCTAGAGGGTGCAGCCTCTTAGCCCAAGGCAGCTTAGCGACAAGGCAAAAGACCAGAAAATATGTGTAATTGTTAGTTATGGACTCCTACATGGGAACAGTGTTCTGTGAAGAAGAAGAGGAGGAGATTGGGTTTATACCCCGCCCTTCACTTGGGAGTCTCAGAGCGGCTTACCATCTCCTTTCCCTTCCCCTCCCCACAACAGGCACCCTGTGAGGTAGGTGGGGCTGAGAGAACTCTGACACAAACTGCTCTTTCAGGAACAGCTTGTGACTGACCCAAGGTCACCCAGCAGCTGCAAATGGAGGAGTGGGGAATCAAACCCGGTTCTCCCAGGTTAGAGTCCACACACTAAACCACTACACCAAACTTAAGCCAGTAGTACCCACTCTGTGGCTCACAAGAGCCACGTTCAATCAGATACCCCCAACCCAAAGAGCCACATTTACTTCCACCCTGAGCACGAGGCCCGCAGCTGACCTGGGCTCACAGCTTACATGTTACTTCAGCTGCAGTCGTTTCAAGGTGGGAACCACCTGCCGGCCACAAGCCCCGCCACACAAGGGCCACGCCCACTTTCCTGAAGCTTGGGGCAGGTGCCATTTTGGGGGATGGTGCTCAAGAAGAGCCATGGGCGACTCCGAGCTCACAATCGTTGTATGACTTTGGGGAAGCCACAGTTCTGTCAGAGGTGTTCAAGAGCAGTTTCTGTCAGAGCTCTCTCAGCCCCGCCTACCTCCCAGGGCGTCTGTTGTGGGGAGGGGAAGGGAAAGGAGTTTGTAAGCCGCTCTGAGACTCCTTTGGGTAGTGAAGGGCGGGGTATAAATCCAATCTCTTCTATTAAGCACAGGTCTGAAATCTGCTCAAAGATCTCTTCGTTCTTTAAACAAAAAAAACGATGCAGCAAAACACGCAGGTTTCCACCCTGCCTTCTCAGCAGAGTTAGGAAACTCTCCACTTAGAGAGCTGAGAGGAGCATAATTGAATTAAAAATGCTCAGTTCTGTGCTTTTGGTGACTGATCTGCCGAACCCTTCTAACCCTAAATAATTAAGAGAGTAATGCATAATTCATTAATAATTAAAATAGATGCGTAACTATCATAGAGAGACAGTTTGGTGTAGTGGTTAGGAGCACGGACTCCAGTCTTGGAGAACCGGATTTGATTCCCCACTCCTCCACATGCAGCTGCTGGTGTGACCTTGAGTCAATCACAAGATCTTTCAGAGCTATTCTCTCAGGAGCAGTTCCCGAGAGAGCTCTCTCAGCCCCACTTCCCTCACAGGGTGTCTGTTGTGGGGAGGGGAAGGGAAAGGAGATTTTAAGCCGTTTTGTGACTCCATCGGGTAGTGAAGGGCGGGGTATAAATCCAATCTCTTTTTCTTCATATTAGGAGAAACACTTCTTGGAAGATTATGGTGGCTTTTAACGCAAACGTGTTCCCCCCCCCCCCAATCTTTTAATTTGTCCTACTTAAATGTCTGTTAACTTGGCAGTTTTGACTCCTGCCTCAGTGAAAACTGTTTGCCTTTCTTCAGCTTTAAAGAATTGATTGCTTTGCTCTTTCTTCTCCCAGAATTAAAGTTATTGACTGGCCTGGAAAGCAATTAAGTCACAGAGAAAGGGAATTAATGCAACAATAGGGACTTTGCAGAGCTCCTGTATAAATGTCTGTCTAATGAGGAGCTGCTGCGTTGTTTCTGATCAAGTGGACTCTAGTTCACAAAAAAAGCTTATGTCGGAATAAAATCTTAAACCTTTAGAGTGTTACTAGGCTTCTTATTGTACCATCGATATCTTTTGTTTTTAACAGAGCTGCCTGTGGTCCAGCCAAATGAAGACTGTGACGACGTTCCCACTCAGGAACAGGAGGACCTGACTGCGGTGGAAGCAGAAGGCTTGCCTTTTCAAGCTACTGAGAACGAGATGCAAGGTGGACACGAAGAGGATGATAAATGACCTTCAACTGTTTGGGATTTTAAGGGACCGAAAGACCCGTCTCACTTTGAAGGAGTGGTAGCAAAGTCCTGCATTCCTTGCTGTTTTCGCACGGAGTTCTTACTGGATCGACTTCGGATGCTCCTGTTGGGCCGTTTTACTGGCCTTTGAGTGAGAGAACAGATTCTGAATTGCGGCGCCATCTGGTCTCTTGCCTACCTGGCTTTTAGGAACTGTGGGGTTTTTACAGTTCTAGGGCCGTAGCTTGGAACTGGCAGGGTGAAAGTAACCACCCTGATTTCTCTCAGCTAGAAAGCAACATGGTCACGATAATGCTGACCACACCGCCTTGGAACGGAACCCGTATGATGTCTTTTTTAAAAAAAAAAAAAGCTTTCACATGGTGAGAAATCTGTATTGCACTGTTCTTGTTTAGTACTAGTGATTGTAATAAACCTTGAAAATAACCTTCTGAAAGGAAAACTATTATGCAGTGCCAGATGCAAGTGTGGGGAGAGGTTAACGGTTCAGAGAAATTGCCTTTCAAATGGGGCGGGCATTAGGTCTGGAGTCACCAGCCAAGGGCTAAAATTTCAAGGACTGAGCCAGCCTGAAATGTGTGCATGAGGAAGAGATACTGGGAAAAGTAAGTGGTGCTGGAAAGGGCCATCAATTCCAGCTGACTTACAGGGTTGCTGTAAGCGACAGATGAATAGCGGTGGTTTGCCACGGCCTGCCTCTGCGTAGCAACCCTGGACTTCCTTGGTGGTCCCCCATCCAAGTACTAATCGGGCTGATCCCACCTAGCTTCTGAGACCTGATAAGGTCAGACTACCTCTTGGAATATCGGAAGCTGGTAGACAGACATCTACTTGCATATTATCTATTTTCTCACCATAAGAACATAAGAGAAGCCAGTGTTGGATCAGGCCAATGGCCCATCCAGTCCAACACTCTGCGTCACACAGTGGCCAAAAATACCAGGGGCCGTCAGGAGGTCCAGCAGTGGGGCCAGGGCACTAGAAGCCCCTCCCACTGTTGCCCCCCAAGCACCAAGAATACAGAGCATCCCTTGCCCCAGACTGAGAGTTCCTATAAGAACATAAGAGATGCCAATGTTGGATCAGGCCAAAGGCCCATCCAGTCCAACACTCTGTGTCACACAGTGGTCAAAAATACCAGGTGCCCTCAGGAGGTCCAGCAGTGGGGCCAGGGCACTAGAAGCCCTCCCACTGTTGCCGCCCCCCCCCCAAGCACACAGCATCCCTTGCCCCAGACCGAGAGTTCCTATCTATACCTTGTGGCTATAAGTCACTGATGGACTTCTGGCTCCATATGTTTATCCAATTCCCTCTTGAAGCTGCCCATGCTTGTAGCCGCCACCACCTCCAGTGGCAGTAAATTCCACGTGTTAAACTGTTCTTTGGGTGAAGAAGTACTTCCTTTTATCCGTTCTAACCCGACCGCTCAGCAATTTCATTCAGAGCCCACGAGTTCCCAGAGCTTTTAACCCTGGCTGTCGCACAACAAACTGTGGTGCCCCCTCCCTAGCAGAGAAGGATGTCTTGGAACTCCTGTGAGGAATTTTGCAATACAGTGTTCAGTCTAAGGAAACAGAAGATGTTTCACAAGTGAAGAGTGAGTTGATCCAAACAACAAACCTTTCTTTATGCCCTCCTTTTTCAGCCGTGCCACCGGAATTCAGATGCTGAAAAAAGGTCCAAATGTCAGTTTATCTTTTCACTTTAAAGTGATTTTTCAAAGCTTGCCAAGACTCCTGTTTAATCTAATTCAGCACCTGCAAACAAACCCATTATGGAGACCAAAAGCAACTTGAATACTCAATGTCGGATCTAAACTGTTTTAATTAGTTTTTAACAGTTCAGTAAAACAGACGCAGGTTTATAAATAGTCTGGTGTGATAGAATGGCACGTTTTTAAGAATGGCTCAAGCTTGTGGAATGACACCACCATCAGTGGCTGAAATAGGTTCCCTGAGTTACTTTAAAAGTAGTTAACGGTTCCTGTAGTCAATTTCTAGAGTACAGTTATAATAAACTGCTAAAAACAAAACCTTAAAATTTTGTCCTTGTCAATGGTGAATGATTATACAGGGTCCAGTTAAGCACGGTCTACCTAAAATGTTTTTACAGAAAATATCCACGCATACTGTCATTTCTAACTCAAAAAGCCTGTCGGAGGGCCCTATGAAACAACTGTGGATAAGACACTTCACGCTCCGCTGTCTGCAGATACATCCAGCAAAGCCAGATCCTTGATTTCCTCCAGCAAGCAGTAGAGGCTCACGCCCTTCGACTGGCGGTACTGTTCATACTCTTCCTCCAGGGGCTTTGCTTGGGCCTTGTCCTGCGCCAGCTGAGCTTCCTCTGCGGTCTTGGTTACTTCCTTTACCAAATCCGTTTTGGAGACGGGGTGACTGTGAGCCAGCTCCATTTCCGACGTTTTGTAAGGCTGGCAGCTTGTGATCTGAAGCCGGATAGTGACGGCATGGCACCGAGAACTCTGTACAGATATTTGTACCTGGGGGGCGGGGGAGGGAAGAGGATGAGAGAGGAAGGCACTTCTTTTTTGCCTCCATTTAGGGAAAAAAACACCCCAAAAATCACAACAACATTTCACAGAGGGATCTGTAACTTACAGTCACATGGTCAAAGAGTTTCAGGGCAACAGGCTCTCCAGCTGTGGGAACGGTGATAATGTGATCGTGGAAACGCTGGAGAGACCCCGGTTTCCAACTGCAGCTCTTGTCGCTTTGGCATGACAGGACCAAACCTTCCTTGTTCTTCAGATAGGCAGCGCCTTTTATTCCGTACCTGTGGCAGAAAGATACTCAGGGGGAAAAGCCTTTGTTTTTTGTATATCCCAGAATAAGGGGACTCGGTGCCTCTCAGGCGATGAATGAGTAAACTACATCAATTTACAAAAAATTGCTGCAACAGTTCAAACATTCACAGATTGAGGACAATAATGTATTGGCATTTCCATGTTGTTTTAATCTAGAATTCCTTTTTTCAACAGGTCAGGACATCAAGTCACTGAAGTGCTTACGAACTTCCTCGAGTGTCAATGTTCGTTTCGAGGCAGTCTTTATCAAAATTCTGTTTAGTTGTAATTCTTTCACAAAGTAATCCAATATTTACGAAGTTGACACATTCTGAATGGCTAAGAATAGCTCCCAAGTTACAAATAGTTCCTTTTAGTGGACAGAATTTTGATAAAGACTGCCTCGAAACGAACATTGACACTCGAGGAAGTTCGTAAGCACTTCAGTGACTTGATGTCCTGACCTGTTGAAAAAAGGAATTCTAGATTAAAACAACATGGAAATGCCAATACATTATTGTCCTCAATCTGTGAATGTTTGAACTGTTGCAGCAATTTTTTGTAAATTGATGTAGTTTGATTGCTGTGCCCTTTAGTTATATTGATGAATGAGTCAACTACAAAAAGGGTGGCCAACTCGGTCTGCAGTAAGAGGAGGCTGGATTTATACCTCGCCCTTCACGTCTCAGAGCATCTCACAATCTCCTTTCCGTTCCCCTTCCCACAACAGACACCCTGTGAGGTAGGTGGGACTAAGAGAGCTCTTTCGGGGGCTGCTCCTGAGAGAACAGCTCTGAGAGAACTTGTGACTGACCCAAGGTCACACCAGCAGCTGCAAGTGCAGGAGTGGGGAATCAAACCCGGTTCTCCCGGATTAAGAGTCCACGCTCCTAACCACACCCAACTGGCAGCAAGATTCGAGTCTGGTAGCATCTTAAGAGACCGACCTGATTTTCTGAGTCTAAGCTCTCAAGAGTCAAAGCATCCTTTGTCAGCCACTGATGAAGGGAGATTTGACTCTCCCTGGTTGGTCTCGATGGTGCTATAAAAGTATGAAGCGACAACTTCTCGCAAGCTAACACTACACAAACGAAGGCTGGGCGTCCTTTTCTAAAGAAGAATGTATCCGCGGGGTGAAAACCAACTCTTGGATCAGGAAAGGGATTAAGCCCAAGTGCATCACCACTGTTCTCTAACCCTAGCGGAGGTCAGCCCAGAAGCTGTGGCTTCCGACACCGGCCACAAGCGCCAGCCGACTTACCTGGGCACGAAGACGAGCACCCCATTTGTCCTTATCGAGTAGATAACCCCATTGGCGGTGCAGTGCTCATCTCTTTCCGGGTCCTTGTCTTTGAAGTACATGCACTGGAAAAGCTCTGTCGACTGTTTCTGGGCATGCTGGGCAGCCTATGCAAAGAAAGCCGTTTAGGTTAGAGCATGCAGTTTGTTCCAGGACCTCAGCCTCAGTGTCGCAAGTCGGTCTGTGCTGAGTGATGGCTCAGATTTCTCAGATGAAGAGCTACCTGCTAGCCCTGAGCCGGTAATTGAATAGCGGCTCTAAGCCAGAAGGAGACCAACGAGAGATCAAATTACTGGCGGATCAGGAGTCACAGCCTACAGATGAAACCGAGTCAACACCTTGTAGCTCTGAAGCAGTAAACAAGTCTTCAGCAGCCACTCCCAGCCCACCTGGCTCACCCACACCCTTGCAGCACCGACACTGTCAGTCACTTAAGAATTGCAAGAAAGGAGAAGTGCAAGACTCATGGCCCGTCGTCAGCTGTCAACTGAAGAGACGAATTAATAGTTTCAGGATGACTGCCAAGGAATTGGCTGGGAGTTTAGCTAGTTAAGACTTCGCTATAAATTCAGCTGGGAGAAGCAGCAGTTTGTGGATGCAACAAGTACACTTTGCTGCTGAGCCACCAAACTTGCTGCTACTGGACCTCACAACCGGCTTTTCTGGAAGCCCTGACCTTGCACTGGACTTGGACTTGCTGCCAGTGTTCCCTCTAAGCTGAGTTAGTGTGAGCTAGCTCACAGTTTTTTAGCCTCCGTCCAGTGTTCCCTCTAAGCTGAGTTAGCGTGAGCCAGCTCACAGTTTTTTAGCCTCTGGCTCACACATTTTTGCTTTAGCTCAGGAAGGAGGGCTCCAGAGCAAACTAATTTATGCAGCAGCCAGATCACTTGCTCACAACTTTAATGCCAGTAGCTCACAAAGTGGAACTTTTTGCTCACAGGACTCCGTAGCTTAGAGGGAACATTGCCTCCATCTCACACATTTTTGCCTCAGCTCAGGAAGGAGGGCGGCAGAGCAAACTAATTTATGCAGTAGCCAAATCACTCACTCACAGCTTTAATGCCAGCAGCTCACAAAGTAGAATTTTTGCTCACAAGAATCCACAGCTTAGAGGGAGCATTGCTTGCTGCCTGGAAGGAACTCCTCGACCCTAGACTGGGCTTTGGTAAACCTGCTCTCTGGAACCCCTGACTTTTGGACTGGACTTTGGCCACTCTCTGCAACCTTGCCTGTAACCTGCCTTGCTGGACCCCCGCCCGTGCTTTCTGGGGAAGCTACACCAGTACACTCTGAAAATTAGGAAAACAATCTCGAGTGGCTGCCACTCCACGCTTCTCAGTCCTTTCCACCTAGTGTCCAAGATGGCCGAACTGTTTTGTATATTTTCCTTCCTGGCAAGCGATGAAGCATGCTGGGTTTTTAGAATCAAAAACAGATGTGCAAATACTCTAAATGGTATTGAAATCAATACCACTGCGGACTTGATGTTTCAGCTCTGGAAGCCAAGCACAATAAGCTAGGGTGGCTCTCTGATCTTTCATTAAGAACAAAGGGGCCCAACCTGGGAAACTCTCCAGTCCCACTTTAGCACAAAGACTTGTGGGAAGTTGCCTCAGTAGGCTGGTTAGACCCCCCCCTTTTTTTAAGCCCTCGGAAGGGATTTTTTATTGCATTTTTCTATAAACTACAACAGAAGACAGGGAGGGGGAAACTACATCTATGGGAGAAAGGAAAGAAAACCAAACTAAAAACCCAAGTATAGGAGATCATTACAACCGCTTGTATCAGTGTTAGTCTAAAATGCTATGATTATATTGAACATAGTCGATCAAGCTATATTATTTATCTTTAAAACCATTTTTTAACTGTTTAAAGAAAATCGTAAGAGCATCATTAACAATAAAAAAACCCTTTAAGGCACCATTCAGAGTTCTTCAGCCTTCATTTTGGTTTGTCTTTTCTAATTCTTAATTGGTATTCTCATTTAAGAGCTGCCGCCCCCTTTTCGGAGACAGAGCCTGTCTGTTTTCCAAGTAAACTATCAAGGAACCCACGAATGAGGAGGATCGGATTTATACCCCGCCCTTCGCTATCCAAAGGAGTCTCAGAGCGGCTTACGATCTCCTTCCCCTTCCCCACAACAGACACCCTGTGAGGTAGGTGGGGTTCAGAGACCTCTTTCGAGGACTGCTCCTGAGAGGACAGCTCTGAGGGAACTTGTGACTGACCCAAGGTCACACCAGCAGCTGCACGTGGAAGAGGAGTGGGGAATCAAACCCGGTTCTCCCAGATTGGAGCCCACAGTCCTAACCACTACACCAAACTGGCTCTCACCAAAGGACTTTCTAAGCAGTGGGGGGAGTCCAATGCAGGGACTTTGACTGAAGTGACAGTGTGATCTCATAACCAGGTGTGCTCCCAGTCCCCTTTACCCTGTTTCTGTTGTTGACGTGATTGCAGAGTTCTTCAAGTTCTTTGTTGCCGAACAAGTTCTCCTTGGTGCCCGCTCGGTCCTCTTTGGAAGTGGCTGCCAACAGCAGTCTGTGGACTATGACGTCAGCGTATCTTCGAATGGGTGAAGTGAAGTGGGTATATTTATCCAGGGCAAGACCTGAGGTGGAAACACAAAACTGAAGCCACTCCTTATGTACGTTTAAACTACCTGCCTGTCTCTTGGAGGCTAACTGATTGCCAACAGTGGCGGCCCCTACCTGGTGGAACGAGCTCTCGGAGGAGATCAGGGCCCAGCGGGACCTTATGCAGTTCCGCAGGGCCTGTAAGACAAAGCTCTTCCGCCAGGCTTTCACATAGGGGCCGCCACTACCACCACCATCACCACCAATGCGGTGGACAACATCGGGGTTAAGGATGGCCCGGGAAGATCCGCCACAATTTCTGTGTGACTGATACCACTCAATTTACCTGGTTAGGATACGCTATAGGTTAACATCATCCCTGGAGAACTGCCTGTTTACCATCTGGCACGTATCCGGAGACCATCTTGTTTTTAAATTGAGTACAACTGTTATTAATGTTTTTATTGTTTTTATCTGTTTTATATTCAGCTTTGCCCCTTGTAAGCCGCCCTGAGCCCGCTCCGCGGGGAGGGCGGAGTAAAAATCTCAATAAATAAAAAACAAACAAAAAAACCCCGCTCCGTGCCCTCATTTACAGCTAAAAGAGGTGCATTAAAAGACTGGAGAAACAAATGCCCACCTCTTGTAAATCAATGAACTGAGGATGGTACGACTTTATCAATGTCTGAATGCGTGGCATAGAGATGACAATTGTGTGTGGACTTATTTTTCCATACTTGGAAATCTTTTATAGAAATTCATGTGTAGATCTGCCACCACTCTTGTCTTTCTGTTTCTACTCTATGTTTTTCCCCTTTAAAAAAAATTAGTTACAGAATTTTGAGTCCCCCTCCCCCTTTTTTTAAAAAAGAAATAAAACAGACTCCAGTGCCAAAATGGGAATTGCACTAAGAGAAAGAGCTTGCTGAAGGAGCACCTGTTTAAAGAAACAGAACGGCAAGTAAGAGCCAGTACCATAGTGGGCGAACGTTTCTTCGGGATGCGACCCTGTTGAGAAGTACAGGGCGTTGGACATTGCCTGGGTGGCCATGGAGCGCAGCAGCTTGTTCACAAGTGGATCAGAGGGGTCAACGGCTCTGTCCAGGGAGTCAGCCAATGCCTTGTTAGACCTACCAGAAATCAAATTCCAAAGGAAGATTAGAAAGAGAGCCTGCTGAATTGCAACTGATAATGAAGCTCAAGACAACGCATCCTCCTGGACTGAATCGAGACCTAGGTTTCCTGTCTCATTACCAATGCTGATTTCTCCACACGTATTACCCCTCTCATCTCTCCCCTAAACCCAATCACGCCTGCTCTTGTTATTCGCCTGCTAATGTCGTTTGAAATCACTCCACTTTTCAATAAATAGGACAGATGCACTCCCATTCTAGCTGTATCTGAGGAAATGAGCAGTGACTCATGACAGCTCCTACCCTGCCATGTATTTTGTTAGCCTTTAAGGTGCTCCTGGACTCTTGGCTCTTTTCTACCACCTTGGCTCATCTCTGCCTTGCCCTCGATGGCCCAGGGTAGCCTCATCTCATCAGATCTTAGAAGCTAAACTAAGCAAGGTCGGCCCTGGTTGGTACTTGGATGAGAGACCACCCAGGAAGACCAGGGTTGCTACCCAGAGGCAGGCAAGGGCAAAACGTCTCTGAACATCTCTTGCCTTGAAAACTCTACAGGGTTGCCATAAGTGAGCGGGAACTTGACGGCACTTTGCATATGTACATATTCCGTTAACGATCCAGATTACCACTAGGTAAAGGTAAAGGTTCCCTTGCTCGAAAGCCAGTCGAATCCGACTAGGGTTGCGGTGCTCATCTCCGTTTCAAAGCTGAAGAGCCAGCGCTGTCCAAAGACGTTTCTGTGGTCATGTGGCCGGCATGACTAAACACCATGGCGCATGGAACGCTGTTACCTTCCCACTGAAGTGGTACCTATTTATCTCCTTGCAATTTCTTGCTTTCGAACTGCAGGTTGGCAGGAGCTGGAACTAGAGACGGGCGCTCACTCCGTCATGCGGCACACTCGGGTCTCGAACTGCTGAACTACCGACCTTCCACAGCCTGCAGTTCAGCGTCTTAACCACTTGAGCCACCGCAGCTACTAGGTTACCACTAGGGGTGTGCAAAAAAAATTCGGCCCGATTCAGATTTGGCCAAATTGGGCATAATCAATTTCGGCTGGCATAAGGACTCCCGCATGTCAATTTCGGCAGTAGGAGCCAATTTGGGAGTCTTTAGGCCAGCCGAATGTCAGTTTCAGCCCCGTTATATCCTATGGGCCATTGAAGTCAATGGCGAAAACACAGGGTATATTCTGGGGGCTGGAGGGGAGGGGGTTTGAGGGAGGGGAGGGGGTTTGAGGGAGGGGCTCCAAACTCGCAGGTTAGCTGCTGGGGCCTCTCCCCAAGATACCAACCAAGTTTCAAGAACATTGAACCAGGGGGTTCAATTCTATAGGCCCCCAAACAGGTTGCCCCTATCCCCTCCATTGTTCTCTATGGTGGGGAAAAAAGTTAAAAGCCTCTCCCTCAAACCCCCTCCCCTCCAGCCCCCCTATGTTTTCGCCATTGACTTCAATGGCCCATAGGATATAATGGGGCTGAACTGTTCAGATCAGAGAATCTAAATCGGCCTGCAGCAGCCCGAAAGGGGTCCGAATGGGCCATTTTCAGGGGTGCACATCCCTAGTTACCACTAGCCCTTGTCTCTCCAGGAGGGACTCCAACGGCACTCTCCAGAGGGTGTGGCCTCGTTCCAGAGGACTCTAGCTGCTGTAAGAGTTATGAGCAAGAGTCTGCCTGTCTTGTAGTCTGCTTGAAAGAAGAAAACGGCTCTTTTCCTCCCAGGGCAAAGCACTTTTGCACCCATCAAAAGCACTCTGAAAACAGTCCAGGGGGAGCACTCTGCTCTTGTAGAGGGCCCACAAAGGGCATCACACCAGTTCCTGATCTGGACAACACCAACGCTCCCTCTAAGCTGTGGAGTCTTGTGAGCAAAAATTCCACTTTGTGAGCTCTTGGCCTTAAAGTTGTGAGCGAGCCATTTGGCTGCTGCGTGAATCCGTTTGCTCTGGAGCCCCATCCCTTCCTGAGTCGAGATGAAAATGGGTGAGCCAGAGGCCAAAAAACCTGTGAGCTAGCTCACACTGACTCAGCTTAGAGGGAACGCTGACCATGACAGACCGCCTCGTGGAAATGGCTGCTTTGGAGGGTGGTCTCTATGGCAATATACCTGGGTGTCGTCCCCCCCAAACGCAAAGAGAAGGACCTTTCAGGCCTGGCCACCAGAGACCTTCTCAAACCTCTGCTTTATGAGAGTGTGCCGCATCACTTTCCCCTGACCAATTCTCCCTCTAAGCTGTGGAGTCTTGTGAGCAAAAATTCTACTTTGTGAGCTACTGGCATTAAAGTTGTGAGCGAGCAATTTGGCTTCTGCATAAATCCGTTTGCTCTGGAGCCCTCCTTCCTGAGCCGAGACAAAAACGTGTGTGAGCCGAAGGCTAAAAAACCGTGAGCTGTCTCACACTGACTCAGCTTAGAGGGAACACGGGTCCTAAGCTAACCCACCTCACACAGCTGTGGTGGAGATGAAGTGAGAAAGTATCTGTTATAATGTTCCCTCTAAGCTGTGGAGTTTCCTGAGCAAGAATTCTACTTTGTGAGCTACTGGTATTAAAGTTGGGAGCGAGCGGTTTGGCTACTGCATACATCAGTTTGCTCTGGAGCCACCCTTCCTGAGCCAAGGCCAAAATGTGTGAGCCGGAGGCTAAAAAACTGTGAGCTAGCTCACACTAACTCAGCTTAGAGGGAATGCTCCCTCTACGCTGTGGAGTCTTGTGAGCAAAAATTCTGCTTTGTGAGCTACCGGCGTCAAAGTTGTGAGCGAGCGATTTGGCTGCTGCATCAATCAGTTTGCTCTGGAGCCATCCCTCCTGAGCTAAGACAGAAATGTGTGCGCCGGAGGCTAAAAAACTGTGAGCTGGCTCACACTAACTCAGCTTAGAGTGAACACTGATAACCAATGCTCCCTCTATGCTGTGGAGTCTTGTGAGCAAAAATTCTACTTCATGAGCCACTGGCATTAAAGCTGTGAGCGAGCGATTTGGCTGCTGCATAGATCAGTTTGCTCTGGAGCCCTCCTTCCTGAGCTAGGACAAAAATGTGTGAGCCGGAGGCTAAAAAAACTGTGAGCTGGCTCACACTAACTCAGCTTAGAGGGAACACTGGTCAAACACCTGTTTAGCTTCAGCAGTGCCGCAGCATCACCTGTTTGGAAAGCACCAATTGTGCAGACAATGCAATTCACCCAGAGTACTGCTGCAGAAAGCACAGCTGCGCAGAGACGCGCCTTGGCTTAAGAGCGCCCGTTCTACTTACTGTGTCTCTATTGTGAAACCTTTTGCGCTTGCACACTCTCGGAGCTCTGCAAAGAACTCCTGCCGTGGCGGTGGGTGCTGGCGCAAGAGAGCTTGGTACGGAAAGCTCTCCCAGATCTTCCTGGCCACCCAGTGGTTAGCAAGGATCATACACTCGGCTATCGTCTCGTGCACCTCCAGCGGCTGCCGAGGGACGAGGGCGTCGATGTTCTTCTTGTCGTCCAGCTGCACCTGGACCTCGACCCCCTCCAGCTCCAGAGCCCCGCAGCTGTCTCGCTTGGCTCGGACACAGCGGGCGACGTCAGTCAGCTTCCCTATCGCCCAGACCAGTTCGTCCAGCTTTTCCTTCCTGGTGTTTTCGTCCAGCTCTTGAAGCTCTGGGATTTCGGCTGCAGCCGTCAGGTCGCCATCCAGCAGCGCCTGGGCTGCCTCGTAGAAGAGTTTGTAAGAAGAGCGGATAATGCTTCTGGAGTACCGGACCTTTTTTATTTCGTAGGAGGTTTTATCGAGTTCCCACATGACGCTGACAGCGTACCTTGAAAATAAAAGCGACTCTTTTATAGATCGTTACACACTCCACTGGATAAACACTGAGACATTTCTAAAAAGAGAATTTGGTTTCTTCTTGCTTTTAAAATTCATTTTGATACATGCAGCAGGAGATATGGACAGCAAAACACGTGCCTCTTCGTGGGCAGAGGGGAAATAGCCTACTGTCTGGATCGCTGGATGGCTTGGGGGGGGGCAACAGTGGGAGGGCTTCTAGTGTCCTGGTCCCACTGCTGGACCTCCTGATGGACCCTGGTATTTTTGGCCCCTGTGTGACACAGAGTGCTGGACTGGATGGGCCATTGGCCTGATCCAACATTGGCTTCTCTCTTATGTTCTTATGATGTCTAGCCACTGTGTTCTTTGGCAGCCCAATTTCCTTTTGCTGCTAACCAATCCAAGCATAATTCCTTTTTCTAGTGAGTTCTTCTGCATGAGATGGCTGGAAAACGTCAGAGGCAGGCAATGGCAAACCACCCCTGCTTGTCTCTGGCCTTGAAAACCCTACAGGGTCGCCATCAGTTGAGTTCTACTTGATGATACTTTTCAACACCAAGCATACATGATCTTCGTCCCATATTCCTAAACTTATTCTTTGATTCCCCCCCCCCCCACAATTCTTTAGATTTGAACAGTAAAGTTAAATGCACCATGAATCTACAGAATGCTGAGGCACCATTCTTGGGTCATCTCTGCAGACAAGGAGATAAGAACATAAGAACATAAGAGACGCCAATGTTGGATCAGGCCAAAGGCCCATCCAGTCCAACACTCTGTGTCACACAGTGGCCAGAAATACCAGTGCCATCAGGAGGTCCAGCAGTGGGGCCAGGACATTAGAAGCCCTCCCACTGTTGACCCCCCCCCCAAGCACCAAGAAGACAGAGCATCACTTGCCCCAGAGCCCCTAGCTATACCTTGTGGCTAATAGCCACTGATGGACCTCTGCTCCATATGCTTATCTAATTCCCTTTTGAAGCCGTCCATGCTTGTAGCACCCACCACTTCCTGTGGCAGTGAATTCCATGTGTTAATCACTCTTTGGGTGAAGAAGTACTTCCTTTTATCCGTTCTAACCCGACCGCTCTGCAGTTTCATGGAGTGCCCACGAGTTCTTGTATTGTGAGAAAGGGAGAAAAGTACCTCTTTCTTTACCTGCTCTTTCCCATGCATAATCTTATAAACCTCGATCATGTCACCCCTCAGTCGTATTTTCTCCAAGCTAAGGAGCCCTAAGCGCTTTAACCTTTCCTCATAGGGAAAGTGTTCCAACCCTTTTATCATTCGAGTTGCCCTTTTCTGCACTTTTTCCAAAGCTATAATATCCTTTTTAAGGTGTGGTGCCCAGAACTGCACACAGTATTCCAAATGAGGTCTCACCATTGATTTATATAGGGGCATTATTATATTGGCTGATCTGTTTTCAATACCCTTCCTAATAATCCCCAGCATAGCATTGGCCTTCTTTATTGCAGTCACACACTGTCTCGACATTTTCAGTGAGTTATCCACTACAACTCCAAGATCTCTCTCTTGCTCAGTCTCTGCCAGTTCAGACCCCATCAATGTGTATTTATATTTAGGATTTTTGGCTCCAATGTGCATCACCTTGCACTTGGCCACATTGAACCCCATTTGCCATGTTGACGCCCACTCGCCCATCCTTGACAGATCCCCTTGGAGTGCCTCACAATCCTCACTGGTTTTCACCACCCTGAACAACTTTGTATCATCCGCAAATTTAGCCACTTCACTGCTTACTCCCATCTCCAAATCATTAATGAACAAGTTAAAAAGCAGTGGACCAAGTACTGATCCCTGCGGTACCCCACTGCTTACCACCCTCCACTGAGAAAATTGCCCACCTACACTCACTCTCTGTTTTCTATGAACTAGCCAGTTTTTGATCCATAAAAGGACTTGTCCTTCTATCCCATGATTTTTGAGCTTACTTAGGAGCCTTTGATGAGGAACTTTATCAAAAGCTTTCTGGAAGTCAAGGTAAATAATATCTATTGGATCCCCCTTGTCCACATGTTTGTTCACCCCCTCAAAGAACACTAACAGGTTAGTGAGACAAGATCTTCCCTTACAGAAACCGTGCTGAGTCTGCCTCAATAGGTTTTGTTCATCTATGTGCCTACTAATTCTTTCCTTAATAATGGTTTCCACCAATTTACCCGGTATCGACGTCAGACTGACTGGCCTGTAATTTCCCGGATCTCCTCTGGAACCCTTTTTAAAGATGGGAGTGACATTAGCTACCTTCCAATCCTCAGGAATGGAGGCAGATTTTAAGGAAAGATTACATATCTTTGTCAGGAGATCTACAAGTTCACATTTGAGTTCTTTCAGAACTCTCGGATGTATGCCATCTGGGCCTGGTGATTTTTCAGTTTTTAAGTTGTCTATCAGTTTTAGGACCTCCTCTCTCGTCACCTCAATCTGACTCAGGTCTTTCAACACCCCTCCTGAAATCAGTGGTTCTGGAGTGGGCAAGCACTTCTCATCTTCCACAGTGAAGACGGAGGCAAAAAATGCATTTAGCTTCTCAGCCATTTCCCTATCATCCTTCAATACTCCTTTTACCCCTTGGTCGTCCAAGGGCCCCACTGCCTCCCTGGCTGGTTTCCTGTTTCTAATGTATTTGAAGAAAGTTTTATTGTTGGTTTTTACGTTTTTTGCTATATGCTCCTCATATTCCCTTTTTGCCTGCCTGACCTCAGACTTGCATTTTATTTGCCATAGCCTGTGTTCTGTTTTATCAGCCTCACTGTGACTAGCTTTCCACTGCTTAAAGGAATTCTTTTTACTTTTTACAGCCTCCATTACTCTGTTTGTTAACCATGCAGGCTTTTTCCTATACCTGTTTGTGCCTTTCCTAACCTGCGGAATATATATTTTTTGAGCTTCTAGGATCGTAGTTTTAAATAGATCCCAAGCTTCCCCAATTGTTTTGACCCTTTCTACTTTTCCTTTCAGTTTCCTCCCCACGTGTCCCCTCATATCAGAGAAATTACCCCTTTTAAAGTTAAAAATGGTTGTGTGAGTCTTTTTGGCCAATTCTCTATTTGTACAAATGATGAACTCAACAACATTATGATCACTGTTTCCAAGTGGTGCAATCACTTTTACATCTCTCACCAGGTCTTGAGTGTTACTTAGGACCAAATCAAGGATCGCCTCTCCCCTGGTAGGTTCCGTTATATTCAGGCCCAACCCCTGCAGGATTAGTGCTGGGCAGGAACGCAACCCCCAGAACTGGAGATCGGACTTAACGAGCTCACCTGTCAACGAGGCCAAGTAGGGAACATAAATTGGCACTGAGGACAGCAGGTAACATGTCGTAGCGACGGTCAGCTAAGTAGTAAGTGGTGGCCCTAAAAATCAGGCAAAAGAATTATTAATTTCCTTGTGAAGCTTTTGCAGATTTGAACCATTTAGGATGAGCCATTTTCCAATAACGTTGCTACACTGACAATAGCTATTAAATCCAGTTAAACTATGACATGGAATAGAGATCTTTATAAGACTATCCACTGTTAATTCAGGATAACACCACTTGACACCCATAAGGAACAGTGTGATCCTAAACAGAGTTAAAAAGGTAAAGGTTCCCTTGCTCGAAAGCCAGTCGAGTCTGACTCTAGGGTTGCGGTGCTCATCTCCGTTTCCAAGCTGAAGAGCCAACGCTGTCCGAAGACATTTCCGTGGTCATGTGGCCGGCATGACTAAACACTAAGGCGCACGGAACGCTGTTACCTTCCCACCGAAGCGGTACCTATTGATCTACTTGCAATTTCTTGCTTTTGAACTGCTAGGTTGGCAGGAGCTGGAACTAGAGACGGGAGCTCACCCTGTCATGCGGCACTCGGGTCTTGAACTGCTGAACTACCAACCTTCCACAGCCTGCAGTTCAGCGTCTTAATCACTTGAGCCACCGCAGCTCCCTAAACAGAGTTACAGCCCTTCTAAGTCCTTTGACTTCAACAGAAGGTGGAAACTCCAGATGAGAAATAATGTAACTCGCACATTTACAAAATAACAGCACAAATATAAATTTAATAATGCAGGCAATTTGGTGTTTTAAATATACTTGGTCATATTCAGATAAAATATTTTCGTTCCGAAATGCTTTTTGTAGGTTCTGTTATGCAGTTCATATAGTTCTTGTGAAAGTATCTACTCACTGTAATTTAAAAGTTTATTCACGTACATAGTTATCCGTACAGGTTATCAAATGACCACCTGTGGGTTTTTTCCACCAGATTTCTACTGCATGTTGAAACAGTTGTTCCAACACAAATAACTAGATTTTTAAAAAAACTGCTGACATTTCTAAGCATGTAGTCACTGAAGCCACAATAGTCTCATTCATATCAAATCACAAACAAAAGAGATACATTGGTGCTTTAAATCGTTTCCCATTCTGAAATTCATGTATTTCATGAACAGTCAAGCATACCACCTCTTTCTTCCACCATTCAAACTTCTTGGTTTCTACAACTTCAGACCCTAAACTATAAACAGGGTTGTGTGTGCACGTGGCACAATTGTGTGATGCCTCCAAGCTTGCCTTGCAGCCAGTGTTCCCGCTGAGCTGAGTTATTGTGAGCTAGCTCACAGTTTTTTAGCCTGCAGCTCACAGCTTTTTGTCTCAGCTCAGAAAGGAGGGCTCCAGAGCAAGTTAATTTATGCAGCAGCCAAATCGGGCGTGCACGACTTTAATGCCAGGAGCTTGCAGAGTAGAATTTGTGCTCACAAGACTCCACAGCTTAGAGGGAGCATTGCTTGCAGCCTACAGTAGAATTATGCCTTAGAAACAAGAGAGAGATTTCTGTTTGACACTCTTTGTTCTCCCATGCAAGGAGGCTAAGCAAGAACACTTCCTTCCACATCTCCAGCTTTACCCAGAAACAACTCACCGTGCTCGTGCCTCAAGATCGGTGTACGAATTTGCAGCCACGAAATGAGTCACGTCTGCGATGTGGACCCCGAGTTCCAGGTTTCCATTGGGCAGAGTTCTGATGGACAGCGCATCGTCCACATCTTCGCAGCCTTTTGGGTCGATGCTGAACACTAAGTGCGTCTCTCTGAGGTCAAGGCGCTTCAGCTCCTCCTCCGGACTCACTTTCCAGGGCTCCTCTGGGAGCACGACCGGCATCTCGCACATCTAAGGAGAAGGAAGCGGATATGAAAGCCACAACCTCTGCATCCTTTATGCTCTCTAGCAACCGGCTAACTTGCTGAAAATCTGAAGGGTGTGCCTTCTGTTTACACCATTTACACTGAAATCAAAGCAAGTTAGATTCTCCATGCGATAGGCTAAAGAAGTGTGGCATCCAGGTCACAACACAACCCCCCTCCCCCACATACCAAATTTGTTACAGCACAAGAACTATAAACAGGGTTAAGAACATAAGAGAAGCCAATGTTGGATCAGGCCAGTGGCCCATCCAGCCCAACACTCTGTGTCACACAGGGGCCAAAAATACCAGAAGCCATCAGGAGATCCAGCAGTGGGGTCAGGACACTAGAAGCCCTCCCACTGTTGCCCCCCCCAAAAGCACCAAGAATACAGAGCATCACTTGCCCCAGACAGAGAGTTCCTATCTATACCTTGTGGCTAATAGCCACTGATGGACCTCTGCTCCAGATGCTTATCTAATTCCCTCTTGAAGCCGTCCATGCTTGTAGCTGCCACCACCTCCTGTGGCAGTGAATTCCGTGTGTTAATCACTTTTTGGTTGAAGAAGTACTTCCTTGTGTGTGCATCGCTGTTGGGTGCAGACTTCAGCATCCTGACAGTTTCCAGTTTTCATTTAACACCCCCCCAAAAAAATTTTCTAGCTCTTGGAGACTTACAAGATAGATCTATAAACGTGCCGACAAATGATTTGTGAATGCCAATGGGAATTCAGTTTTTCTTCTGTGTCACATGTAGCTTTTGTGAATTCAGTTTTTCTTCTGTGTCACATGTAACTTTTTGCTCCTGTTCATGACCAGCAAAAGCAGAACAAATTTTGCAGAACAGGAATCGAACAGAAATGAGTTTGTACCATTCAACGGAGCACAATGAGGCTATCGTTGCATGGAATAGATTTTTTTTTGTACAGTCCCCCCCCACACACACATGCACAATGCATCACACAGAGACATCCGCTCCTCCGTGTACCTGAAAATATATGACATCACCTTGACTTTATGCAACTGAACTACAACATGCCAACTGTCGTTATTGTCATACCACTGAGAACAGTTTTGTAATAACACTAAGCAAACTGTTAAAAAGAAAATCATAAAACAGACCAACCTGTGCTTCAGAGAATGGGCTAACAGAAATGCTGTTTTCCACCAGGATGGTTTGAATTTCGCCTTCGAGGTCTCCTATCCGTCCTAAGACCCGCACAAAGTGTCCGTTTGGGTACACGGACGTCGACTCCCAAGAATCGATTCGCACAATGACCCGAAAGTCCTGCAGAAAGACCACGTTCGTACATCAGAATGCCAAGGCAAATGGTGAATACGCTAGCACAAAGAGACTGGGACGGGGCTAATCTCTGTGCACCAAGCGGATGTTTTACCTGGAGAGCCTCAGCTTGCTGCGTGCTGATCCGGATCTTGGGGATCCTGTAATCCCAAGGTGTCACGAGGATCTTCTGTGTACTTTTGCCAGGAGACTGGATCTCTTCTTTGGATGGAAAAGTGACCACGTAATCCCGCCAGTTCTTCTGTATGATGCCAACAACTCTACCTTTGCAAGGGAAATAATGCTGGTAATATTAATTGTATTATTAATACAAATTTAAAATGCTGCAATACATCCTAGACAAGGTCAATAATTGCTTCTCCTTAAATATTGACTTGTTTACAAACAAGGTCAATAATTGCTTCTCCTTAAATATTGACTTGTTTACAAACAGTAGGTTATTTTGGGTGTCCCCCCCCCCCCGAGACTGCAATTATGATCTAAAGCCCAAGGAGCATCAATACAACTTACAAAATTCAGCTCACAGTTTGCAAATGAGCTGTGACCAAACAGTCTCCCTTTCAGTTCAGTGCTCTGACTGCTAGGCTTTGAATGGGCCTGTGACTGTACAATACCTCGTTAGGAATTTGCTCTGCCCCGGCACAAAGCCTGGAAATGGTGCAGCAGCAGGGAAAGAGACTGTGTTAACCCACGCTTTTCCTTCCTGCAAGGGGTGAAGTCAGAATAACTTCGTGTGTGTGTGTAGATTTGTTAGATTTAAATCTGGAAGTGGAGGAAGGGGACAATATTTATGTTTTAGTTTCAGAGAGCCAGTTTGGTGTAGTGGTGAAGTGCGCGGACTCTAATCTGAGAGAATCAGGTTTGATTCCCCCACTCCTCCACTTGCAGCTGCTGGATGACCTTGGGCGAGCCACAGTTCTGTCAGAGCTGTTCTTTCAAGGACAGTTCTGGAAAGAGCTCTCTCAGCCCCACCTACCTCACAGGGTGTCTGTTGTGGGGAGGGGAAGGGAAAGGAGTTTGTAAGCCGCTCTGAGACTCCTTCAGGTAGTGAAGAGCGGGGTATAAATCCAATCCTCTCCTCCTCCTCCTTTTCCAAAAGACACACAAGAAAACAGAACGAAATCTGAGTCCAGTGGCACTTTTAAGATCAACAAAGTTTTATCCTGGAGATAAGCCTTTGTGAGCGTGCGCACTTCTTCAGATACAAGAGAAAACAGTTATTTGAGCACATGCAAGTTCACAAGGTAACTAAACGTCAGAATTAGCATCCATCTCGCCAACACGGGGTACTTGTTAAAGTGTGGGGGCTAGGACCTGGGAGACTCGGGTTCAAATCTCCCCTTTACCATGGAAGCTTGCTGGGTGACTTCAAGCCAGTCCCACACTCTCAGCCTGACCTGCCTCACAGGGTTGCTGTGAGGAGAAAAACCATGCATGCCACCCGTGACCTCTTAGAGCAGTGGTTCTCAACCTTCCTAATGCCACGACCCTTTAATACAGCTCCTCATGTTGTGCTGACCCCCAACCATAAAATTATTTTCATTGCTACTTCATAACTGTAATTTTGCTACTGTTATGAATCGTAATGTAAATGTCTATGCAGGATTTGGCGAGACTTGGGAGCCCTGTCCTAAGACCATCGAAAATTTGTGTTTTCCGATTGTCTTAGGCGACTCCTGTGAAAGAGTCGTTCGACCCCCAAAGGGGTCGCGACCCACAGGATGAGAACCACTGTCTTAGAGGAAAGGTTGGATAAAAACGTACTAGACAGATTAGGCGTATCCAGCCCAGTATCCAGGGTTATTTTTGGGCAGGAACGCAGAGGAACGGAGTTCCGGCTGGCTCCTGAGTTGGCCACACCCAGCAGGAACTCATTAGCATAATAGGCCACACCCAACAGCAGAAACTCATTAGGATTGGCTACATTAGGGGTGTGTGGCCTAACATGCAAAGGGGTTCTTGCTACAAAAAAAGCCCTGGGTTTTGACAAGGTCAATAGAATAAGAAGCAAAAGGTGGGTGTGGCTGGATGACCACACTTCTGGTAACATGGGGGTGCAGCCTAATATGCTAATGTGCTGTGCTGTCAAGGGTGTGGCCTAATATGCTAATGATTGTCTGCTGTTGGGTGTGGCCTATTATGCTAATGAGTTCCTGCTGGGCTTTTTCTACAAAAAGAGCCCTATCAGTGTAGACTAGGCCGGCATTTGACAGCAGAGATGGAATGGCCGGTGGCCGTGTTTGAGAAAGCCAGCAGCTAATCCTCTCTGTAAAAAATTTATTTGCACTCGTTCTGTGCCTATAACATATGCACGAAGCTGTCTTATACTGGGATTCAGTACAGCAAGGCCAGTCTTCCCCTCCTCCAAACCGGTGGCTGCTGTCCAGGGTCTCAGGCGGAGGTCTTTCACATCACTCAGTACTACATCTTTTTAACGAGAGAGATGGCATGGATTGAACCGGGCACCTTCTGCGTGCCAAGCAGGCCCTCTGCCGTCGTGCCACGCCCCCTTACCTGTAGGCACGGGCTCACTGTGAGCGTCCCCCGAGGCCTTTTCTTCCGTCTCGTTCTCACAGAGGGCAGAGGTCCGTCCCTTCCACTCACTCTGGGGCAGTAACTCCACGGCCACCACGTCGCCGTGGATCGCCCTGTTCCGAGCTTTGGTGCCGTAAATCAGGACGTCGGTTCTGAGATCTGCGTTCCAGAGAAAGAAGGATGGTTGAGCAGGGCTGAGGCTGGGCGCAGATTCAAACTGCCTCCCCCGGGCCATAATCTCAAAGTCTGGCTCCTCGTGATGTCCCCCCCCCCACCCAAAAAAGGAATGCGGCAGGCAGAAGTGAGACTGGAGGGTTTTTTTTAGGGGTGGGGGAAATGCACACGGGAACCTGAATATTCAGAGGCAGTTAACCTCTGAACAGCAGTGCCAGCCACTGTTCCCTCCAAGCTGAGTTAGTGTGAGCTAGCTCACAGTTTTTTAGCCTCCAGCTCACACATTTTTTTGTTCGCTCAGGAAGGAGGACTCCAGAGCAAACTAATTTATGCAGCAGCCAAATCACTCGCTCACAACTTTAATGCCAGGAGCTCACAAAGTAGGATTTTTGCTCACAAGACTCCACAGCTTAGAGGGAACATTCAGAATCAAGGAAAGGTCTGTCTGTTGGCCCTCTTGGGCAGCCGCTGGAGTCTCACAGAAATCAGTGCTCAGCAACGTTCCTTCAGAGAAGTTCAGGTTCACTGAGTACAGTAAAGGCGAGTCTTCTGTGCAGACATTAAGTGTCAGAACTGATTGTAAAGGTGGGAGGTAAATAGACAGACAGATTTCAAAGCGGGGCCGCCCTGACTAGATGGAACCAATCAGGGAAATAGTTGCAGCGGGCCTAAACGAACGGGTTCACATTCCCAGCAAAGCATCAGGAGAGCGGTACCAAGATCAGACGGCCAGGCGGGGAGATACGACCCGGCAAGAGGCAGTGAAAGTTAACGTTCCAGCATAATAAGAAATACTACGTCAGCCACCTCACACACACACACCCCACCAGCCATGGCAACATATAGGGTTGCCAAGTCAAAATATCTCCTTATTGGGGGACTCCCGCGGGGCGGCTGCAGCGCGCGCCGTACGCACGTCACCCAGAAGTGATGTGACAACGCCGGGAACACTGGGGGTGGGGCCACAACCATCCGAGGGAAAACCATAGAGTTTTCCCTCGGATGACCATGGCCCCGCCCCCAGCGTGGTCGCGTCACTTCCGGGTGACGCGCACGTCGGGGTGGGGTTCCCCTTGGGGCCTGATCCGCCAGTGGCGGGGAATGGGGTTGGGAAGCCTAGCAACATAGCTGACAGCGACTGGCCGGCAGCTGGATAAAACAGGACGCTGGACTAGAGGCTGGTCACACATCCAGCAATGCTCTTCTTAAGTTCTGACAAGGCTCCCAATCCACCCTGCCAGCGCCTCCAATTACCTATGCTCATATACAAAAGATGGACCACAAAAGCCTGAGAAGGGAGCTGGGTTAGTCTGCTGATGCCAAAATGAACACAGTCCACTCTGAACAGCAGTGGGTCTCTAAGGTCACAGGCTGAGATTACCTACTTCACATCATGTACTGCCTGGTCCTTTTAACTGAAAATGCTGGGGACTGAACCATGCCAAGCAGAGGCTCTGCCACTGAGCCACAGCCCGTCTTTACAGCTCTCCAGAGTCTCAGGTGGAGGTCTTTCACATCACCTCCTGCCTAGTCCTTTTAACTGGAGATGCCGGGGACTGAACCTGGGACCTTCTGCATGCCAAGCAGAGGCTCTGCCACTGAGCCACAGCCCCTCTTTACAGCTCTCCAGAGTCTCAGGCGGAGGTCTTTCCCATCACCTCCTGCCTAGTCCTTTTAACTGGAGATGCCAGGGACTGAACCTGGGACCTTCTGCATGCCAAGTAGAGGCTCTGCCACTGAGCCACAGCCATTCCCCAATAACAAGTTTGCTTTCGGGACCTCAAGGGCTAACGCGCTTTTTGCAGTAGAAGCTTTCACCAAAGCCTAAGCCAGGCTCACTGCCCAAAGCCCTTCCGGACCCCAGGAACCAAATGCATTTGTCCTCACCTTTCTCTTTGTGGCTGGCTCCTTGAAGCCGCACAAAAGCCTCCACCTGCGCTCGGTGCTTGTTGACATTCAGGACTCCCTGCAGTAGTAGATTAGCATTAAAATGATGTGACTCCGAGGCTCACAGAACTGGGCTCAGTTTATTTCCTGTGCTGGAGCTTTGTGGTCCGAGGTCCCCCACCCGAAGGCTTCGCTTCCCATCTATCCTGCAATTACCTCTAAAAGCCATTGGGGACTTTTTCAGCGAAAGGATCCACATTTTATCTTTTCCCGCAGACAGAATGTCCATTTTTATGGTTTCAAGGCCAAAAAGAGGCACAATATTGATAGGAAGGTGGAAGATCTTATCGACTTTGTTCTACTGTTCCCCCAGCGTTACATTTTCCCCTCTAATCATTAGTGCTTTGGGTATTTTATGGGATGGAGGAGAGGGAGGTCTCGGTTGTCCTCTGCATGTCCTACGCTCTTTGTGGCCCTGGCGTTTTCGTTTCTGTGGAAGAAGCAGCCCCCCCTTGCTTCTGTTTCTAGATCTGACCCACAAATGTTTAAGTGCCACGCCTTAAGCCGAGCTATACTGTATTTATTATTGAAGCCATTTGTACATTATTCTGGATCTGAAGCCGCTTTCTCTTATATTGCAAGTACTTTTACCCTGTTTGGTGTAGTGGTTAGGAGTGCAGATTGTAATCTGGGAGAACCGGGTTTGATTCCCCACTCCTCCACATACAGCTGCTGGTTGATCTTGGGTCATTTACAAGTTGTTTCAGAGCTGTTCTCTCATGAGCAGTCCTTGAGAGAGCTCTCTCAGCCCCACCTGCCTCACAGGTTGTCTGTTGTGGGGAGGGGGAAGGGAAGGAGATTGTAATCTGCTCTCTTTCGGTTAGTAAAGGGCGGAGTGCAAATCCAATCTCTTCTCTTCTTTCTCTGATACAGTCTCATTGGGTGGTTCAAAAAGATGTGTTGATCTTACAGTGATATTCATATCAGCCAGCATCGTGTAGTACTTAAGGGCAGTGGACTCTAATCTGGAGAAGAAGAAGAAGAGATTGGATTTATACCCCGCCCTTCACTACCCAAAGGAATCTCTGAGTGGCTTACAATCTCCTTTCCCTTCCCTTCCCCACAACAGACACCCTGTGAGGTAGGCAGGGCTGAGAGAGCTCTTTCGAGAACTGTCCACGAGAGGACAGCTCTGAGAGAACTTGTGACTGACCCAAGGTCACAGCAGCAGCTGCATGTGGAGGCGTGGGGAATCAAACCCGGTTCTCCCAGATTAGAGTCTAGACTCCTAACCACTTCACCAAACAGGGTAAAAAACTTGCAATATAAGAGAAAGCAGCTTCAGATCCAGAAAAATGTACAAAGGGACTCCAAACCACTACACCAAACTGGCTGTCAAACCAGGTCTGATTCCCCACTTCTCCCCATGAAGCCTGCGGAGTGACCTGGGGCCAGTCACTGTTCCCCCAGAGTTCTCTCAGCACCACCTACCTCACAGGTGCTTGTTTTGGGGAGAGGAGGGGAAGGCGATTGTAAGCCACTTTGAGACCCCTTAAGGTAAAGGTAAAGGTGTCCCTTGCTCGAAAGCCAGTCGAATCCGACTCTAGGGTTGCGGTGCTCATCTCCGTTTCCAAGCCGAAGAGCCAGCGCTGTCCGAAGACGTTTCCGTGGTCATGTGGCCGGCATGACTAAACACCAAGGCGCATGGAACGCTGTGACCTTCCCACCGAAGTGGTACCTATTTATCTACTTGCAGTTTCTTGCTTTCGAACTGCTAGGTTGGCAGGAGCTGGAACCAGAGACGGGAGCTCACTTTGTCATGTGGCACACTCGGGTCTCGAACTGCTGAACTACTGACCTTCCACAGCCTGCAGTTCAGCGTCTTAACCACTTGAGCCACTGCAGCTCCTCATACCTATTTATCTACTTGCAATTTCTTGCTTGCGAACTGCTCGGTTGGCAGGAGCTGGAACTAGAGACGGGAGCTCAGTCCGTCATGTGGCACACTCGGGTCTCGAACTGCTGAACTACCGACCTTCCACAGCCTGCAGTTCAGCGTCTTAACCACTTGAGCCACTGCAGCTCCTCATACCTATTTATCTACTTGCAATTTCTTGCTTTCGAACTGCTCGGTTGGCAGGAGCTGGAACTAGAGATGGGAGCTCACTCCGTCATGCGGCACACTCGGGTCTCGAACTGCTGAACTACCGACCTTCCACAGCCTGCAGTTCAGCGTCTTAACCACTTGAGCCACTGCAGCTCCTCATGCCTATTTATCTACTTGCAATTTCTTGCTTTCGAACTGCTAGGTTGGCAGGAGCTGGAACTAGAGGCGGGAGCTCACTCCGTCATGCGGCACACTCGGGTCTCGAACTGCTGAACTACCGACCTTCCACAGCCTGCAGTTCAGTGTCTCAACCACTCGAGCCACCGCAGCTCCTTTGAGACCCCTTAGGGTAAAGGAACGTGGGCTATGAAAACCAACTGTTCTTCTTCATCTCTTTTACTGCAGTCATGGCACATTTGAAAGCCAATACTGTCAGGCTATTGTGGGAAAGGTTTGGGGGGAGATTCTGTGAAATATCACCAGCCCCTTAAGGGCAGGCGTTTGACCTTTCCGCACATACACCATGAATGTAACCTGTATGTATCTTCCCGACTTGATTCCTGCTTCCAGTGATTCCAAGGGGACGTGTTCCGGGTATTCTTTCCTGCTGTGCTCTTGGCTTTCACTCTCCCGTTCACGCCGCGACTGGAGTATGGAGTCGAGGAGCTCGTGAGCGGCTTTTAGGTCCGGCCAGAAGTTGTCCAAGTAATTCTGTGTAGACAAAGAAGATTACCAGTGAGAGGTTTTGTCGGCATAGTTAATTCAGTCAGTCACTCAGTTAGCCTTTATTGGCACAAAACAATACCTTAAAAGAGGATTACTGTAACAAAATGTACATATAAAACCACAGAAGACCGTACATATAAAACCAAGTATTTTGCAAACGACAAAGTATTGCATAATGTTACATAAAACAATTTGTTACAAAGTGTTGCTCATTTAGATAGGTATGGGCCCAGGTATAGTTGATTCATACTGTCCAGGGCTATTTTTGGGCAGGAACGCACAGGAACGGAGTTCCGGCTGGCTCCCAAGTTGGCCACGCCCAGCAGGAACTCATTAGCATAATAGGCCACACACAACAGCAGAAATTCATTAGGATTGGCTACATTAAGGGTGTGTGGCCTAACATACAAAGGAGTTCCTGCTACAAAAAAGCCCTGGGTTTTGACAACAAACAAGGTAAACAGAATAACAAGCAAAAGGTGGGTGTGGCTGGATGACCACACTTCTGGTAACATGGGGGTGCGGCCTAATGTGCTAATGAGCTGGGCTGTCAGGGGTGGGGACTAATATGCTAATGAGCTCCTGCTGTTGGGTGTGGCCTATTATGCTAATGAGTTCCTGCTGGGCTTTTTCTACAAAAAGAGCCCTGAGTCCGTTGCCAAAAAGAAGAGGTGAAAGACGCTGCAGGAAGCAGTCTTGAAAAAGAGTAAAGCCCTTACCAGACTGGGCTGTGTTGTTACAATTAAAATATGGCACAGAAAGGTCACCTTGAATGAGATGACGAAGACACCTTCTGTTTCGCTGCCCAGTTGCTGGATAGACTCTTCGTCATCCGTCACCATCACGATGGGCATCTGGCCCGAGAAGTGATTGTAATACCACACCGAAGCATTGTAGATACTCCTAGGAGAGAAGAAGAAGAGAAGAGGAGATTGGATTTATACCCCGCCCTTCACTACCCCAAGGGAGTCTCAAAGCGGCTTACAAACTCCTTTCCCTTCCCCTCCCCATTACAGACACCCTGTGAGGCAGGTGGGGCTGAGAGGGCTCTTGACATAAACTGCTCTTCCTCAAGAACAGCTGTGCCAGAACGACGGCTTCCCCAAGGTCATCCAGCAGCTGCAAATGGAGGAGTGGGGAATCAAACCCAGATTATAGAATCATAGAATGTTAAGAGTTGGAAGTTCTTGCCTTGAAAACCCTACGGGGTCGCTGTAAGTCGGCTGCAACTTGATGGCACTGTCCTCATAGAATCATAGAGTTGGAAGGGGCTACACAGACCATCTAGTCCAGCCCCCTGCTTGATGCAGGACCAACCTAAAGCATCCCTGACAAATGTTCGTCCAGCCTCCTCTTGGAAGCTGTCAGTCAAGGGGAGCTCACCACCTCCCGAGGCAGCTGATTCCACCTTTGGACCACGCTGACCGTGAAAAAGTGTTTCCTAATATCCAGCCGATACCTTTCTGCATGTCATTTAAACTCATTGCTTTGGGTCCTCCGCTGCTAACTGGAATGGCTCCTTGCCCTCCTCCAAATGACAGCCCTTCAAATATTTAAAGAGAGCAATCATGTCCCCCCAATCTCCTCTTCTCCAAACGAAACATTCCCAGGGCCCTCAGCCTTTCCTCATAGGGCTCGGCCTCCAGACCCCTGATCATCCTCGTCGCTCTCTTCTGCACCCTCTCGGTTTTGCCCACGTCCTTTTTGAAGTGAGGCTTCCAGAACTGCACACAGGACTCCAGGTGCGGCCTGACCAAGGCAGTCTACAGAGGGGCTATGACCTCCTGCGATGTTGATGCTATGGCCCTTTTAATACAACCCAAGACTGAATTTGCCTTTTTTACCACCGCATCACACTGACTGCTCATATTTAGTTTACAGTCCACTCTTACAGTCTTAACTATGGTGCTGGAGAAGACTCTTGAGAGTCCCTTGGACTGCAAGAAGATCAAATCAGTCAATCCTAAAAGAAATCAACCCTGACTGTTCCCTGGAAGGCCAGATAATGAAACTGAAGCTCAAATACTTTGGGCACCCAATGAGAAGGGAGCACTCACTGGAGAAGAAGACCCTGATGCTGGGAAAGATTGAAGGTCAAAGAAGACGGGGACGGCAAAGGATGAGATGGTTAGACAGTGTCATAGATGCAACGAACATGAAAGTGAGCCAACTTCAGAGGACGGCGGAAGACCGGAAGGCCTGGTGGGATCTGGTCCATGGGGTCACGAAGAGTCAGACTCGACTGTGCGACTGAACAACAACAACCACTCTTACCCCAAGATCTCTTTCGCATACACCACTCCCCAGAAAGGTATCCTCCTCCAGTCTTTGTGCTTGACATTTTTGTGGCCCAGATGGAATACTGTGCAAGCATTCATCTTTGTTGAATTGCATCCTGTTTGCAACTGCCCACTTCTCCGGAGTTATTTATTTATTTATTGGATTTTTACCCCGCCCTCCCAGCCAAGGGCGGCTCAGGGCGGCTTACATAGAATCAGTACATAATTTACAATAAAACATGGATCAAATTAGATTAAAAGAATTCTAAAATCAGGTCTTGTTGAATTTTCTCTATATTCTTGAGTATTGGCCACTCCTCCCAATTTGGTATCATCAGCAGATTTAATGAGTAGCCCTTCTACCCCTTCATCCAGATCATTGATAAAAATACTGAAAAGTACCGGGCCCAAAACCGAGCCTGCAGCACCCTGCTGGACACCTCCCTCCGATCTGATGAAACGCCATTGACCACCACTCTTTGGGTGCGGTCCTCTAACCAGTCCCCTATCCACCGAACCGTCCTGTAGTCCACTACACAGTCTTCCAGTTTTCCCATCAGAAAAAGCTTTCCCCAAGATCCTCCAAGCTCATTCTGAGTTAGTTGTCCACAGACCAGGTCTGCTCTGTGAGATGGTAGTCGCTGACTACAGATTTCTATCACTCAGTGTCATCAGAATTTTCCACGGCCAACACAACGTTTCGAACATATACCTTGTCTGCCACTTCTCCAAAGACTCTCCTCTTTCTCTTGGCAAATAAGAAAGCATCTGGAATTCGTTAAAAAACATGATGCAATCGTGACGGGCGTCCCTCAGCAGGTTCCGCAGCTTGTTGTACTGCCTGGGAAAGAGACAGAACAAATAAGTACATCACAGAAGCCAATGTTGGATCAGGCCAGTGGCCCATCTAGTCCAACACTCTGAGTCACACAGTGGCCAGAAATACCAGGTGCCATCAGGAGGCTCAGCAGTGGGGCCAGAACACCAGAAGCCCTCCCACTGTTGCCCCTCCCCCCAAAGCCCCAAGAATACAGAGCATCCCTTGCCCCAGACCGAGAGTTTCTATCTATAAGAACATAAGAGAATCCAATGTTGGATCAGGCCAGTGGCCCCTCCAGTCCAACACTCTGTGTCACACAGTGGCCAAAAATACCAGGTAACATCAGGAGGTCCAGCAGTGGGGCCAGGACACCAGAAGCCCTCCCACGGTTGCTCCCCTCCCGGTAAACACCAAGAATTCAGAGCATCCCTTGCCCCAGACTGAGAGTTCCTATAAGAACATAAGAGAAGCCAATGTTGGATTAGGCCAGTGGCCCGTCCAGTCCAACACTCTGTGTCACACAGGGGCCAAAAGTACCAGGGGCCATCAGGAGATCCATCAGTGGGGCCAGGACACTAGAAGGCCTCCCACTGTTGCCCCCCTTCCCAAGCACCAGGGCATCACTTGCCCCAGACTGAGAGTTCCTATAAGAACATAAGGGAAGCCAATGTTGGATCAGGCCAGTGGCCCATCCAGTCCAACACTCTGTGTCACACAGTGGTCAGAAATACCAGGTGCCATCAGGAGGTCCAGCAGTGGGGCCAAATTGAGCACTGTGACCAAAACAAGACCACTGAAGAATCTTGTGACACTTTAAAGCAGGGGTGTCGAACTCATTTGTTACGAGGGCCGGATCTGACACAAATGAGACCTTGTTGGGCCGGGCCATGTGTGTAATCCCAGGTAGCGGAGATATAAAGTTTATAAAGGACACAAACACAGAGGTGTTTTTTTTACTTAAAATAAAAACATGCTTAAAACATGAGCACTCTTGCAATATTTTGTTTATTTAACAGTGTCTGATAACTGACACCTCTTGCTTTGAATTATTGCATCAAAATATCTGTGCTTTTGCAATCTTGAGTATGCTGTTCAGGTGAGTATCTGTAAGCTGCAAACCTACGATGACACAGCAGCAGAACTGGAAGAAGCAGCAGAAGACAGCCAGTTCCACTGCGGGCCTGATAGAAGCCCTCCGGGGGCCTGATCCGGCCCCTGGGCTGCATGTTTGACACCCCTGCTTTAAAGGCTAACAAGCTTATGGTGACAGAGCCCACAAACCAGATGAAGTGGCCTCTGGTTCACAAAAACTTACACCACAAAAAAATGTAAGTCTTTAGGCTGCCACCAGACCCTTTAGACACGCTTATAGCCAATCCAAATACATGAAATTAAAAGAGCAAGAGTCCAGTCACACCTTAAAGACTAAAGAAATTTGTGGCAGGGTAGGAGCTTTTGTGAGTCACTGAAGTTTTGTTGGTCTTTAAAGTGCTACTGCACTCTGGCTCTTTTCTACTGCTACAGACAGACTAACGCGGCATCTATCTCCATGAAATTGAAGGATTTTAAAAAATCTGTACTGAATCTATTGCCCCATATATCATGCAGAACAGAGCTGATAAAGCAGAGCAGAATCTATGCAAAGAAAGGTTTTCACTCAGAATTGCACATCCCTGCCAGTTTGGTGTAGTGGTTAAGTGCGCGGACTCTAATCTGGGAGAACCGGGTTTGATTCCCCACTCCTCCACTTGCAGCTGCTGGATGGCCTTGGGCAAGCCATAGTTCTGTCAGAGCTGTCCTTGAAAGAGCAGTCTTTGAGAGAGCTCTCTCAGCCCCACCTACCTCACAGGATGTCCGTTGTGGGGAGGGGAAGGGAAAGGAGTTTGTAAGCCACTCTGAGACTCCGAGTGAAGGGCGGGGTGTAAATCCGATCTCCTCCTCCTCTTCTTCTTCTAAATGTAAGACGTTGCTGTTCATGTGAAAGGTCTGGCCCTGATCCAGATATCCTTGACTACAGCACAACAAAGTTTGAGTCTAGTAGAACCTTTAACACCAACAAAGTTTTGGATCTTATACCTTGGCAGCAGAGGACAGAACTCACAACAATGGGTTTAAATTAAGGACGGGAGGGTACAGGCTGGATATTAGGAAAAGTTTTTGACAGTGAGAGTTGTTCAACACTTGAGTCAGCTGCCTAGGGAGGTGGTGAGCTCCCCCTCCCTGGCAGTCTTTAAGCAGCAGCTGGACAAATACTTGTCAGGGATGCTCTAGGCTGATCATGCATTGAGCAGGGGGTGGGACTAGATGCCCTCTATGGCCCCTTCCAAATCTGTGACTCTATGATTCTAATAAAACTTTGTTGGTTTTCAGGGTGCCAGTGGACTCAAACTTCACTCAGAGTCTCAGAGCGGCTTGCAATCTTCCTTCCCTTCCCCTCCCCACAACAGACACCCCCGTGAGTTAGGCGAGGCTGAAAGAGCTCTTTCGAGCACTGCTCTTGAGTGAACAGCTCTGACAGAACTATGGCTTGCCCAAGGTCATCCAGCAGCTGCATATGGAGGAGTGGGGAATCAAACCCAGTTCTCCAGATTAGAGTTTGTGCACTTAACCACTACACCAAACTGGTTGGGTTTTTTTTTTTACACTATTCCATTTTTATATTTCCAGGAGGACGACGAGATTGGATTTATACCCCGCCCTTCACTGCCCAAAGGAGTCTCAGAGCGGCTTACAAACTCCTTTCCCTTCCCCTCCCCACAACAGACACCCTGTGAGGTGGGTGGGGCTGAGAGAGCTCTTCACACAAACTGCTCTTTTTCAAGAACAGCTCTTATCAAAACTACGGCTTGTGGCTCAAGTGGTTAAGATGCTGAACTGCAGGCTGTGGAAGGTCAGTAGTTCAGCAGTTCGAGACCCGGGTGCCGCATGACAGAGTGAGCTTCCGTCTCTGGCCCAAGCTCCTGCCAACCGAGAAAGCAAGAAATTGCAAGTAGATAAATAGGTACCGCTTCGGTGGGAAGGTAACAGCGTTCCGTGCACCTTGGTGTTTAGTCATGCCGGCCACATGACCACGGAAACGTCTTCGGACAGCGCTGGCTCTTCGGCTTGGAAACGGAGATGAGCACCGCAACCCTAGAGTCGGACTCGACTGGCTTTCGAGCAAGGGAACCTTTACCTTTAAGTTCTATCAAACAGAGCAAATGATGTCTCATGCTTGCCAGTTGCAATTTCACAGACTCCAAACCAGCTTCAGACTCCAAACCAGCTTCAGACTTCACCAGAGCGACATAGGAAAAAAGGGCTAGATTGTGTACCTTCAGTGGAACAGGATTAAAATGCTCTTAATCTAGACTGTTCTATGTTAGGGATGCCAGCTTCCAGGTGGGACCTGGGGATCCCCTGCAATTGTGGCTCATCCCCAGACTACAGAGATCAGTTTCCCCTGGAGAAAAGGGATGCTTTGGAGGGTGGGCTCTGTGGCCCTGTGCCCCGCTGAGGTCCCTGTCCTCCCCAGGCTCCACCCCCACATCTCCAGGAGTTTCCTAGCCTGGAACTGGCAACACTACCCCCTCCTTCCCCCGCTGGTGGCCAGGGGAGACATGGAAAGCCTAGTTCAGACAACCCTGGGGATATTTTATCCCAATTAGAGGAGATGCTTACAGTTTTTTTAAAAAGCTGCGAATAGCAGGACAGTATTAAGGATTCTTATTAACTTGGCTTGTTATAGCAAAGGATTTGAATACTTCCATTACCTCTGAAATATATTCATAGATGATAATGCTATAATTAATGTCAGCTAGAGAAATCCCTGATTAACCTTTGGGGTCTCGGGGACATTTGCAATACCAATGTTGTTGCAGAGTTGCCACGGCATGCTATTAACCTTTTGGAAGTCTAAAAAAGGAACCGGGTAGCGAAACATTTTACCGTTTGGTTCTGTGTATTTCTTGGCATTTACAAGATTACCATGAAGCGGGAATAAATCTGCTAAAAATAAACCGTCTCAAAAAACCTGAAGTATCTTGAAACATGTTTATTAACTCAAAGAATGAGTTATCTTTATATCGTGAGCTGGTCTGAAAATTCCAATCTTTACTTCACCTTAAAATATTATTCTGTGGCCTGATGCACATGTGAGTACATCATCAACGGAACAGAATTGGCTCATGAAAGCTACGAGCACTGAGCATCAAGTCTCTAGCAAGAGATCAAACAATGTACATTCATGTGTCAACCAGCAAACAGAAACCCAAATCAAGGCAAAAAGTAATTCATTAATGGTTTTGTACGGTTCAATCGTCTAAATCTGAATGACCCCCCAGTATTACAGCAATCACACTGGCTACTGATACGCTCCCAAGCCCAATTCACAGAGTTGGTTTTGTCCTTTAAAGAAGAAGAGAAGAGATTGGATTTATACCCCACCCTTCACTACCCAAGGGAGTCTTAGAGCAGCTTACAATCTCCTTTCCCTTCCCCTCCCCAGAACAGACAGCTGTGAGGTAGGTGGGGCTGAGAGAGCTCTTCCCAGAACTGTCCTTGAGAGAACAGCTCTGACAGAACTGTGGCTTGCCCAAGGTCACACCAGCAGCTGCAAGTGGAGGAGCGGGGAATCAAACCCGGTTCTCCCAGATTGGAGTCCGCGCACTTAGCCACTACACCAAACTGGCTCTCTCTATAGCCCTATATAGCTTTGGACCAGGGTGTCTGAAGGACCATCTTATCCCATACATTAATGCCGGGGAATTAAGATTACAGGGGGAGGAATTGCTGTATCTCCCACCAGTCAAAGAAGTTCCTTTGACGGGCACACGACAGAGGGCCTTTTTGGTGGCAGACCCATGATTTTTGAACCACCTCCCCAAGAAGGTGTGCCTGCCCCCCCCCCTTCAATCTTTAGGAGGCAGCTGAAGATGGGGTTTTTGGGCTGCATTTGGCTGATTTAGTTTTCATTTATTGGCAGTGAGCCAGGGCTCTTTTTGGGCTGGAACGCACAGGAACGGAGTTCCGGCTGGCTCCCGAGTTGGCCATGCCCAGCAAGAGCTCATTAGCATAATAGGCCACACCCAATAGCAGAAACTCATTAGGATTGGCTACAGTAGGGGTGTGTGACCTAACATGCAAAGGAGTTCCTGCTACAAAAAAAGCCCTCGGTTTTGACAACAAAGTAAACAGAATAAGAAGGGAAAGGTGGATGTGGCTGGATGGCCACACTTCTGGTAACATGGTGGTATGGCCTAATGTGCTAATGAGCGGTGCTGTCAGGGTGTGGCCTAATATGCTAATGGCTTTGCTGTTGGGTGTGGCCTATTATGCTAATGAGTTCCTGCTGGGCTTTTTCTACAAAAAGAGCCCTGGCTAACTGAGATTTTAAATTGTGGTCTTTGATGTGTGTTTTTTTTAAATCAGTGTTGTTTTATTTACATGGGAAGCCGCCTCAAGTTCCACAAGGCAGAAAGGCAGCTAATAAATGTTTTAAATGAATGAATTAAGTAAGTACATCGGCTGATTCCAGATAAAACTCTGGAAGTATTAAAAGCAACAAGAAAAAAACGTGAGCAGGACAATGGGAGGGTAGCTTTCCAGTCTTTGGAATACGTTCAATACCTGCGGCCTCTTTGATGCTGCAAAGCTTGACACGCCGTTTGCATGAAAACAAGCCCCTTCAGCTCAGGGAATTCTAGTATTTCCAGGTAATCTTGGACCACCTTCCAGTCAGGCACGACATAATGAGTCACATCATCGGACAACAGTTTCCCATCTAAAAAAGAATTCAGAGTGCATTAAAATGAACCCACGAATAGCATGCATTGGCTTTTGGTGTAGTGGTTAAGTGTACGGACTCTAATCTGGGAGAACCGGGTTTGATGCTCTACTCCTCCACTTGCAGCTACTGGATGACCTTGGGCAAGCCATAGTTCTGTCAGAGCTGTCCTTGAAAGAGCAGTTCTCGAGAGCTCTCTCAGCCCCGCCAACCTCTCAGGGTGTCTATTGTGGGGCGGGGAAGGGAAAGGAGTTTGTAAGCTGCTCTGAGATTCCCTTGGGTAGTGAAGGGCGGGGTATAAATCCAATCTCCTCATCATCAGATTTGCTGGTTGACATATACATAACATGCCGGGGGGAGGGGGGAAATGTGCCGTCAAGTCGCAGCCGACATATGGTGACCCTGCAGGGTTTTCAAGGCAAGAGACGTTCAGAGTTTGTTTTCCATTACCTACCCCGGTGTCACAATCCTGGTATTCCTTGGAAGGCTCTCGTCTAAATACTAGCCAGGGTCGACCCTGCTTAGCTTCCAAGATCTGCCTGGCCTGGATTACCCATGTCAGGGCATACATAACATACCATGAGAAAAAATGAATGGCCAAAATTAGATACAATCCACACTCACGCATTTTTTAAATATGTGAGCATGAAAAACCAAGATGCATGGTTTTAGTAATGTCACAACTTGGCCACACGGAATAAAATGTGCAAAAATAAACTAACACCGGGTCTGGCTAATCATATCAACACTTGAACAAAGTCTGAGTCCAGGGGCAACTTTAAGACCAACAAAGTTCTGTTCTGGGTATAAGCTTTTGTGTGCATGCACGCTTCCTCAGATATCAACACTTGTTCTTGGCATGTATGTATGTATGTATGTATGTGTGACCACTGAAGAAGCCCCTAGGGCCTGGTCTTGTTTACTGTGGCTCTGTTTGGAGGCTTATCGACTTTGAGACTGGGTCTCATTTTGTTGGGATTCTTTTTAAGTTAGTCAGCAGAGTATTAAGAGACTGAGTCCATGGTGTGTATTTAAAATATATCAACACTTGTTCTTGGCATGTATGTATGTATGCGTGACCACTGAAGAAACCCCTAGGACAGTGGTGGCGAACCTAAGGCAGGGGGGCCAGAGGTGGCACTCAGAGCCCTCTCTGTGGGCACGCGTGCCATCGCCCCAGCCAGGCCCAGACCATCATTAAAGTGTCGAATTCTCCGCCAAATAATTTTAAGTAAATGAAAGGATTTGGGATTGCTTTCCTTACTTTGTTTGGATCATCTTAAGTTAATGTATGAGTTGTTTTTTCTAAAGTAAAACCTCAGTTTTGTGTTGGCACTTTGCAATAAATAAGTGGGTTTTGGGTCGCAGTTTGGGCACGCGGTCTCTAAAAGGTTCGCCATCACTGCCCTAGGGCCAAAACACATTTGGTCTTGTTTACAGTGGCTTTGTTTGGGGGCTTATCGACTTTGAGACTGGGTCTTATTTACTGTGGTCTTGTTTGTATATCATCAACTTTGAGGTACTTATTTCTACTATATATTGTTTATTGAGGACTACTCAGTTTGGTGGCTTTCAGCCTAAAGACTAAATTCAAGGCCCACGTTTTTAAACTTGTATTTTAAAGTGCACTGTATAATAAATTGGTTTATTTTGTTTAATTCATTTTCATATAGTTTCTGTTCAGCCTAACATGCTTTCCTTATTTCATGGCTTGCGATGGAAGTCTGAAGGGTGCTGCACTGCGGTAACAATTTTTCTGCACAGACGTATTCAAAGGTGCTGCGACAACAACAACCACAAAACTTATTAGCAAATTCAGGCACCACTTCAAAGTGCAGAGTCCCAATCAATTTACGTTCAGGAGAAAGGGCAACGGGCTCCTTCTGCTCGTTATAAAGCGGGTGACATTAAAATCTGATGACGCTGGGCTTTCTACACATCACTATACCGCCGTTCAGATTTATTTTGCTACCACAAAGGTAGCAGGAGCCCCTTGCGCGTTTAGAGGAACGGGCAGGACCATGTCTACGCTGTCAACCGATTGCGTGATGAAAAGCAACGCGATTGTGGTGGTTGAGAGTGTCGGACTGGGATCTGGAAGACCCGAGTTCGAATTCCCCACTCTGCCATGGAAGCTTGCTGGGTGACCTTGGGCCTGTCACACCCTCACAGGGTTACATAAGAACATCAGAGAAGCCAATGTTGGATCAGGCCAAAGGCCCATCCAGTCCAGCACTCTGTGTCACACAGTGGCCAGGAATACCAGGTGCCATCAGGTCCAGCAGTGGGGCCAGAACACTAGAAGCCCTCCCACTGTTGCCCCCCCCCAAGCACCAAGAAGAACAGAGCATCCCTTGCCCCAGACAGAGAGTTCCTATAAGAACATAAGAGAAGCCCATGTTGGATCAGGCCAAAGGCCCATCCAGCCCAGCACTCTGTGTCACACAGTGGCCAGAAATACCAGGTGCCCTCAGGAGGTCCAGAACACTAGGAGCCCACCCACTGTTGCCCCCCCCGAAGCACCAAGAATACAGAGCATCACTTGCCCCAGAATGAAGTTGCTGAGCAGTTGGGTTAGAACAGATAAAAGGAAGTCCTTCTTCACCCAAAGAGTGATTAACGCTTGGAATTCACTGCCACAGGAGGTGGCGGCGGCTACAAGCATGGACGGCTTCAAGAGGGAATTGGATAAGCATATGGAGCAGAGGTCCATCAGTGGCTATTAGCCACAAGGTATAGATAGGAACTCTCTGTCTGGGGCAAGTGATGCTCTGAATTCTTGGTTCTTTGGGGGGGGGGCAACAGTGGGAAGGCTTCTAGTGTCCT